TAGTTCGCCACTATCTCTCTCTCTCTCCCTATCTCTCTCCCACTCGGATGATCTCCCATGCTCTTACCATTATCCCTCAAAATTATCTCTTTTTTCCCAATTTAAACCTCGAGTCTAATTCTCTCTTGATAATTAATTCCCCGTTTCCCTGCATTGGGGTAATAATTTCTTTTTGGTGTCTTGTTTAATTATTTATTTATCTATTATAATGTAATGTGAGGTTCCTGACACTCTTCTCTTTCTTCTCGAAAAAAAAAGATAAATCTACATGATTTCTCTTTTTTTTTTTGCTTTACAACAAGTTATATAAAATGTTTGATCATCGTATTATAACAAAAATAAGGATTTTCTCCTGTCTATCATGCCATCAGGCTCACAAAAATAAAAAATTTGGGTAATAACTTAAAATACTAAATCCTTTCTAGACTTCGTCTCTTTTTAGTCTCTAGTGTATCTTTTACTGGATCACAGATTATTAAGTCTTTGATTAATTTGATAATGCTCCTACGTAATTCTTAAGATGGGGTGGTAGCTCATTGGCTACGTCGAACAACTTAAACCGAATACGAATACAAAAATAAAAAAACAAAATTCGCTTTCATCGTCCATTAAACGAAATAAAAAAATAATAATCTCCCTAAGTAGTCTTTCAAAACAATGTTAACTTGCATATAAAAATGTGAAACCAATTCGTTCCTTCTATCAGATAAAAGTCGTAGTCTCTATAAAATCTTGTATCAAAATCATAACGTAACAAAACTAAAATTTTTTCTATGATTCGTATTTCCCTTTCTAGGGTTTTGGATCCTTTGGGTAATATATGTACTTAATATTTTTGCCATGCTGGACAATCTTTTTCACCCGCCTATCTCCTTCGTCAAACCATTCGATGGTTCTTTTCCTTTTCTTATTCCTTCCCGGGGTCTCGAATAATCGCCTTGTGTCGTCAGATAGTGGCGACAAGGACACATCGTGTGGCCTTCTGGGAGAGTTGGACTCCCCTTCCTCGATTTGCCTTGCCTCCCCCGTCCGACGTACAGGTACTTGATTTTTTGGTGTTGCTCGGGTCCATGCTTGCCTTCGGAACCATTGATTCCGGGGACGGTCCCAGGCAACATACTGTCTGTCTGTTGGGTCTGTCTGTCCTATGTCTGTGTTACTTGAGGGCTGCTGGTAGTCGTATGCCTCGCTATATTTTAATTTTGGTGTTTCGAGCGTCTGATTGTTAGGAGAGTTCCCGCGAATGGAATTACTCCCTTCAGAGTACGAATCGTGATTCGGAAACGTCCCAGCCAATCCTCGCTTTCTTAACGACTCTAACCGTCTCTGTATGTGGTCTCTTGGTGGCGTTAGTAATAGTGGTGATCTCAAAATGTCCAGTTCTGATTCTATTGTATTTAAGTACCACCCTACCCCTACATGGTCTGGCGTATAGGTCGAGAAAGAGTTACTCCCTGGTCCCCCCTCTTCTAAAACTGTCTCTGGTAGGTCGTCTGTCTCGTATGGCTCAATTCTCTTTAGATCTATCGACTTCCTTTCACCCGTTGTCTCCTTCAACTTCTTACTTCTCGGATCTACTAGATTTGGTTTTACTTGATCTTGTACATGGTTATCATTTCTACCCTTGTCTCGAGTCTTGTTGTCAGTCTGTAATTCCGTTAGTCGATTTGTTTCGTGGTTCAAATAACTATCTATTTCTTTAAAAAGTATTTCGGTTATTTCTCTATCTGTTTTTTCCTGACTATTATCGATTTCTAACTCCATTATGCTTTCCCTTCCCTCTTTTTTTTTCCTACTGTCTTGTGTCATATGTCCCTGGTCCTCCCCGGCCTTTATCACAATAATTCCGTACTCGAGTTCTTCTGTTTTGTTAGTAAGGCTGGATAGAACAAATCAAATTTCATTCCGACATTAGTATTCGAAAAATAAATTATTATTCAATTTTACTCATAGAATTCCTTGAGATCTTTAATATGTACTAAAAAGCTGTGCCCTTCATCGTTTACTATTTCGTACTCTGCTGGGGAAATGACTCTGTTAACCGTATAACCCCCTGAATATTTTGGTGCTAATTTAGCTGAAACATGGTCAATGGCTGACGAAAGGGGATACTCTCTTTTCAACATTCGTTCTCCCACTTTGGGGATCCATTCCCTGTGTCTCTTATCGTAATACCTACTCTGATTTGTGTTAGCCTTAGCTAGGTTGATTCTAACGATCTCTTGTATTTCAGCTAACCTCTTTAATCTTTCCCCGTGCTCTATACCAGACCCCGACTGATGCCCTTGTAGCGTGTCTCTCAGTGAGGTTGGTTGTTCCAGATCTCGTCCAAAGTTTAAATACGCCGGAGTACACTGCGTGCTGTCGTCTCTGGCGGTGTTCATCGCAAACATGAACTCTGGAAGAAACTTATCCCACTTCCTTTGATCCCCTTCCATATACTGCGCGATCATCGTCTTGATCACTCGATTCGCTCTCTCCACGGGGTTGCACTGTGGTGAATATGGTGGCGTCCTCTGATGTTCGATTCCATAAGTTTTTAGGAAGCCGGTGAACGTAGTTCCTGTGAATTGACTTCCGTTGTCTGATATCAAGATTCTTGGTTTTCCGAATTTCAAAATAATAGCGTCTTTCAAAATTTTTACGATCGCCTCAGCTTTTGCCTTCCGTAGAGGTCTCATTTCTACCCATTTGGCGAATTTATCTTGTATCATCAATATATAACTGTATCCCAATGTGGATCTCGTCACTGGTCCAACAATGTCGATCGATATGACTTCCCAGGGTTGAGAAGCGTATGTAGTGCCCATTTTCCCAGCAGGTTGTTGTTGTAGTATTTTGAAGCTTTGGCAACGTTGACAGCGACGGACATAATCCTTGATGTCTCGCTGCATTCCTGGCCAGAAGTAGTTTTGGGCTACACGAGCAATTGTTTTCGCAATGCCAAGGTGTCCAGCAGTTGGTGAATCGTGGTTTTCGTAGAGGACTTGGAGGCGCTTCGTTTTTG